GTGACAACCAGGTTTGGTTCAAATCACTGTCTCCCTTATCATTTAATGGTCAGGTTTGTGTCCCTGCATATTCTTGTTTATGGCTTCCTCCTATAATAATATTAATAAAATTATTATTGTTGTTAATTATTATTGTTGTTATTATTATTAGTATCATCTTTTTTTTTTTTTTTTTTCATTGAAAAGGTCCTTGACCAGATACCTTTAAAGGAGAAGACATTGTCATTCCACATACCCTTACAGGAGGGATCAGCATGAGTGAGGTGACTGAGGAGCTCAGTGCCAGTGGCTGGGGGAGGATGACCCTTCATCTCTGAAGGGAGGTGTGGTCCAGCCTCTTTCACTCTTCCTCCTTCAGCATGTTGACCACCTCTGGCTTCAGGCTGGCTTCTCTCATATTCTGTTATCCTGGTTGTGGTGTTCATTCCCAGGGGTTGTGACCATGGTTTGAGAAACTCTGCTAATGAATAGTCTGTAAAAACTCCCAGCTTCCTTCTGGTCACTGGGTCAGGGCAGCGGAGACACCTGTGTACCTCTGACTACCACCTGTAGACCTCTGAACAGTCATCAGAGACAGCCCAGATGCAGGACCCTCTCAGAGACCAATGATTTAAACACTTCCCTGAATTCCAGAGTCCATACCAAGGAAGAGATGGTATTCTGGGACCCCACATCATGGACCCTTAAACAAATGGGGAGCACCTGTGCAACTCATTTGTTTTAAAGGAGCACATTTCTCCTCCAACCCCCCCAGGTCAGCTATGGCACTTGCACACCTAGACCTGGAAGCACATTGCTGGTTCTGAACCCCAGCATTGAATTTCACTCACTTGTTTATCTGCAGGAACATGTTTTGCCTAAGCCAGTCACCTGGGAGGAAGTCCTCTCCTCTGGTTTCACACATCTACAGAACATTTGTCTATGTCGGAGCTTGTCAGCATAATGCCTTTAAATCAGGCTGGAGAAACAAGGCCTTTGGGGATCTTCCAATTCTGACACTCCCTTAGACCAGTGCTTCAGGAAGAGAGGAATCCTACCGCCTACTCACGTGATGACATCTCCTCTGGCTGTGGTAAAGTACCAAGGGATGAGCTAAAAATGCAATTCAGTATCCTCAGCCTAGGCAGCTACTGCCTTACTTGCATTGTGGGACACAGACTTGGCCACCCAACTGTGGTCCCAGCTGACTGTGTGTCTCTGGATGACCCTATGCCATGTCTGCCAGCCCAGTGCAGTCACCTGGGATACCCTAGAGAGCAGCATCCCTTGAGGCACTCCTGAAGTGGGACAGACACCTTGCAAAGGTAGGTTCGTCTCAGGTGAACTGCCCACCAGTGTTGTCTGCTTCTCTCCGTTGATTACAGAGTGAGCTAACTAGTTAAGACTTGACTAAATATTACCTGCCTCAAGTCATGGGGCTGTGCTCCCCTTACAGTACAAGCAGTCTCAGCTGCTTCTTTTTCCCGCACAGAAAATCTCCATCTTATTTCTGCTCCAGTTATCACAAGGTTCCTGCATCTGCACATAGTCCGGAAGTGAAGCACGCCAGCGCTCCAAGAACTTTTTAATTAGCCCTGTGGTGACAGAATCTCAAATCTGCTAATTACTATTATTCTTTTTTGAATGACCAGAAGCTCAAGGTGATTTGAGATTTTCTTTTCTTCTTGAATCTCAGCACTTGCCTTAACTCAGGCATCAGGAATCCTATAAAGGCCTTGCTGGAGTCTTCTGTTGGAGGTAGGTTTGCATCCCCTGCTCCTCTGAGTAGAGCTATGCGGTATTATCTTGTAACTTGACAATGACATCTAGGAGCATTTGTGAAGTTGGATCACAGAAACAGCACGTTGCTGGAGGCATTTACTGTTTCTGACAAAAATACCGAAAAGAAGACTTAATTCCACACAGTGCCAATGATAGTGTATATGCAGAGGAAAGAGAGTATCACTAGGAAAGAGAAAATGACCTGAAAATGTTTGCTTAGCATTTGTAATATATCTTACTTAATGGAGACAGCTTCAGAGACACTACCCACATGTTGGGACAGGTCTGAAAGAAGACAATCTATGTTGCACTGTTGATAACTGTCTTAACAGCATTTCTGTCTTTCATATTTTCACCAAAGCTCGATCTCACTCTTACGCTAGGGAGATTACTGGGGCAAAAGAGAAAGGCTGGGCTTGAATTGAAAGCAGATTGCCTTCTCTTCTCTCCCCCCATACTTGTGCAAAAATATTCTTGTTTTATGGAACATGAAAACAAAGAAGTCTCTGGATTGTTACAAAACAGGATTTCATACCAGAAGTGGTTTTCCTATTTGGTCCTGTGGAAAAACAGCAGTTTGCAAGCAGAAAATAGGAATATGTTTATAAGGCTTTAGAACGTGGTTCTTAACTGGCACTAAGGAACTAACTGTGATAGGAAAAAATAATTACAGAATCCCTGCAGAGTATTCACCAAAGGCAATGGAAAAGTGCAGAAAGTTCTGGTCTCTACAGTTCTCTGACATTCCATTTTGGGAATAAATTACCAGTTTGTAGGGGAAAAGAAAAAAGTCCTGGTTTATTCTGCATATGACTTTTCCTTGTAAGAAATTTGATTTTTTTTCCAACTGAATCAAATAAAGGCAGTAACTGCCCGTCAAGGAAACGCTGGAGATAGGATTGCATCCCCTGCTGCTCAGAGTAGAGCTCCGCTGTATGATCATTACATTTAGACTCCGGACTGACCTCATCAACATACACCTGAAGGGAGGGTGCCAAGGGGACAGAGCCAGGTCAGTGGTGCCTACTGACAGGACCAGAGGCAGTTGTCACAAACAGAAATGCAAGAGATTCCATCTGAATATAAACCCCCTTTTTCTTCTGAGGGTGACTTGAGCACTGGGGCAGGTTTCCAAGAGGGGTTGTAGAAGCTCTCTCCTTGGAGATATTCTGAACGGGACATGGTTCAGTAGAGCGGTATCATCGTTAGTGGAATTCCAGCAACTACTGAGCTGAATTGTGGCTCGGATGGAAATTTACTGTTTACTAAAGCAAATCATCTCATGATCCTATAAAACAGCAGTCTTAAGTGAGGCCCTTTGAGCTCTCCTGGACTGCAGCGGGCTGCACCAGCACCTCCCTCTGAGTGGAACACCTCTCACAGCTAGCAAAGCTAGCAAACTCTCAAACTTTCCTACAATCAGATGTCCATTGCCAAAGACTGACAGTGGAGCCTGGGCTGAAAACCTTCACTCCTTGAGGCTCAGCCCTCGGCCATTGAGAAATGCCAAGACATTCGATGTGAATATTTCAGTGAACTTGAGGGGAATTTTTAACAGGTATACCTTTATATATATATATATGTATGTATATAAATACATACATATATATTCATGTCTACATGTATGCATGTGTAAATCAATTTAAGTAGTCTGTAGATGTCTGATTTAATTTCAAAGTGAGTCTTATACTGCTGCATTATCCTTATTCACATAAACCGTTGACCAAGTCTGAGACTAAGATTGGACCCAGCCGCACCTCGACTCCTCTCTGAGAAGGAGTTTAGAAAGCAAGGGGGTCTGTTCTGAACCTCGTGACTCAGCGGGAGGGTCCTCCTTATCCCCTGCATACACAATCTCTTTGTGAATCATTCCAACTCAGTGTAACACAATTTTCCTTTATGCACTTCCATGTAGTAATAGAGTGAACTTTGCCATTTGAATGTTTAACTAAGTCGCTGTTTTGATCAATTTTGTCTAATCACTTTGTTAATTGACTGATGTTTGAGTCCTATTAAAATATCACAATCAAATCCTGCGATTTGCCACAAGTAAATTCTAAACTGCTACTAAATCAAACTGTGTAAAGTCAGTCATTCATGACAAATTAACAAATTAATCTGCAGGATTCACACATCTGTGTTCATGACACCTCGTACATCTTGCTGCCACCTGGAAACTGATGCAGACTGGTAACCTACAGTAATTTGGAAGTTATTGTTATTATGTTACCATAAATACAGGAAAATGTGATTTAAAAGTAGAGCACTAAAACTTGTATTTGTCTGCTAAGTCAGGAAGCCAGACTGGAAAACAGAAATTAGTCAGAAATGTTAAGGTATGCTTGCAGATCCTGACCTGTAGTACCACAAATATGACAGGGAAGGATCTAAATGTCATCTATCATCTAGGGTCAGGACCTCAAGAGTGAACACATACTGGTACTTTAGACACTCAGCTTAAGATCAGCAGAAAGTCTCTCTGGAGGTATTGAATCTCTGCCTTTGGCAACGCAGGGAGTACTGAGGAGTACACTGGTATTTAGACAAGTCAGGTCAGATGAATCACATTCAAGATTTCTATGGAAAAGGGTATGCCATCTCATTTAGAATCAGCCCTCAAAGGTACTATACTGCATGGGCTCTGGGGTTTGTAATGGATACTAGTAAGAAAGGTACTCAGATTCTGTAAGGTATTAATTAAAATACCATTTTTTGAGCTAATATGGAAAGGGAAAGGGAATAGTATAGCTAATCTTAACATGCTGGGAACCCACAGTTATGAAACACTGGATGGACTTCTAGCCAAGGCACAGCCCATTGCACAGATCCTGTCTGTGGAGTAATTCCCCCACATTATGGTACTTAGAGCTTTTACCAGATTTTCCTAAGAAGTAAAAAATGCTATTCATGATTTCTACTGTCCATCAAAAGGATATCCACATGAGAACATGTTGTTTCACTTTCAGATGAGGACAAGAACATGCTGGTGGCATCATCATTGGTGCCAAGTGGGAGCTGCCTAAAGGCTGCTTCATTATGATTTGCCAGCTGTTTGTCCTGTGGCCAAGTGATATGTGCAGCACGGGCAGGTGCCTACTCAGGTCAGCTGTTATGTAGATCACTCACTTTTTTGGCTTACAATAGTCTTCCAGTTAGGACCACTATATGTACCATGTGATTATGCTTTCATTTCTGATTCTTGGAACATCTTTAACATCTGTTTTTAAACTAACTTTCAGCTTTTAGAGATGAATCAGACAGCCATGGTGGAGTTCATTCTCTTGGGACTCACTAGCAATCACTGTTTGGAGATCATCCTATTTGCCATTCTCTTTGTTGCCTTCCTCCTGATCCTCCTTGGAAACATCGCTGTCATCACCATCACACTGGTGGACCAACACCTTTACATGCCCATGTATTTCTTTCTCAGGAATTTCTCCCTTGTGGAAATTTGCTTCACATCTACCTTCATGCTGAGGACGCTCTAAAGCCTCCTCACAGGAGCAAAACCAGTTTCCCTCTCTGGATGTTTTCTTCAGTTATCTGTTGTCTTCATCCTGGGTATCTGCACTTTCTTCCATGTAGCTCTCATATCCTTTGACTGCTGCATGGCCATCTGCCACCCTTTGCATTATACCACCTTCATGAGCAATAAGTTTTGTCTCCAGCTGGTGCTGGGCTGCTGGGTGGTGAGTTTCTACTTAATGTTCTCCCCACTGACAATTATACTCCATTTGCCATTCTGCAGACCCAGCATCATCAACCACTTCTACTGTGATATAGCAGCACTGCTCCAGCTGTCCTGCACAGACACAGGCCTCAATTAGAAAGTAATGCTAGTGACAGGTGTTCTAATATTACCTGGCACTTTATCAGTAACTGTCTTTTCCTATGCCTACATTGTCCACACTGTCACACACATTCAAGTCTTCAGAAAGCAGGAAGAAAGCCTTTTTCACATGCTCTGCTCATCTCATTGTGGTCACCATTCTGTACAGCAGCTCCATCACAAGGTACCTCCAACCAAGCCAGTGGGGTGGGAGAGATTTTAACAAAGTTGAGTCCTTCCTCTGCTGTGTGATTACTCAGCTGTGAAACACTTACATCTACACCCTTCAAAATGAACAAGTCAAAGAGGCCTTGAAAGATCTGGTGGCAATGTGTTTTGTAGGCTCTGATGATGTTTTGACATCCAGAGCCACAAAGCAGTGAGTGCATGCAAATTACTTCCCAGCAGAGTTCCCCATACCCTGGGGGGTGGGGGATAAAGATGATGCATGGGGATGGATTAGGTGGAATTCACCTCACTAAAGTGTATGAAGTTGCTCTGCCCTGACTACATACAACATCTCTTTGACTTAATCAGTTGGAAGTAGTGACATTTGATCCATTTGAAATGAGGTGTGGTGAAATCCAAGCCAGACAACACAGACATGTTAATAAACTCTTTAGACTTCTATAGGAAATTAAAATCAATACTGTATATACCTCAGATAGAGATGCCTAACCTTCAGAGCAGACAACACATCACCACACAGAAACTTCCTGTCATGGTGCCTATCATTTAATTTACAGAAAGGTATGTGGAGGTGCGTGACGGATTCCTCCCTGATTTCTACAAGCAAATGTTTTGATGGTGGAAGCTGGAAGTTCATGCCCCACTAAACAGTTTTCAAATGCAAAGATCATTTTCATGTGTATGTTAACAAATTGTCAGGACCCTGAGAGCACTAATAGGCCCTTATGTCCTTGACCAGCATCACCTGGGGCCTCCACCCACACCCTTTAAACATGGATGCAGGAGCCTCATTTAAGCACAGGCCTGGGCATTCAGTCCCTACCTGACCTCCACTGTAGCAGTACCACTCTCCATTTCAATCATATGCCCATGTTCTAAAGTCCACAAAGGAAACCCTTCACTATTATCAAGTTCTTCCAAGAAATTATTTCTGTCTCCATGTCTGCTTTAGTAGAATAGAGCTTCGGGGTTCTCAAGATGGTCTGAGTGTGGTTTTGATCTCTTTGTGTTGTTCCATAAATTGTCATCCCCTGCCTTTGGCTTTCTTAGGAAAGAAACTTCATTTCTCTTTTCTGCTTGCAGGGGGCTGACCAAAATGAAAACTTGATCAAAAGGGAGTACTTTAGACATTTCCACAACATAAAATTATATTACTGTAACAGGAAAAAAAGTAATCAAGAACTTTGGCACTGACAGCAATGGTTTATATTTTCATGCTAATATTTGAGCTCATACTCTTTTTCAGAATTGGATACAACCTTAGGAAACAACGCTTTAGCTCTGACCACTCCTCCCATGGACGTGCTATGTGGAGGATCCCCTGAGATATATTCAGAATGCAGTGTATGGGTACAGGAATAAAGTCACACAGGTAAGCCATATAAAATTAAAAGAAAATAAAGTCTCAGCTGGCTGTCCAGGGTCCTTCCAAAGTCAACATAATACTATGGGTTTGTTTATTCCATCCTTAGGCAGATGGAGATTTCTTAGTCCTCTTTGACTACTTTGTCTATAAGATCCACTGTCAATGACTAAAATATGATGGTGGGGGTCTCAGCTGGGACTCAGAAATCTCTGTCTCACTCAGGAATGTTATACATTATATATGTATAAGTATATATGCGTGTGTATGCATAGAATCATAGAATCATTTAGGTTGGAAAAGACCTTTAAGGTCATCAAGTTGAACGATTAGCCTAACACTACAAAGTCCACTACTAAAACCAGGGTAGAGTAGTAATTTCATGTTTCCTGGCTTGGTGGCTGGATTATTTAAAATGACAGTAAAACTAGGAATTACTAAGGTTGGAAAGGATCTCTAAGATC